TAGAGTTTACTTTGATGTTAATATTTTTAATCCCATTATCTTTTGATTTCATGACTATTTATTTATTTCAGGATGGAATTACGTTGCGTAGTTGCTGTTATAAGACACGGAGATCGAACACCAAAACAGAAAATGAAAGTGGAAGTCCGTCATCCGAAGTAGGTGTATCTTTTTTAAGCAGATATATGATGCGATTGAAGAATAATATTTTGTTCATCTTATTCCATACAGATTTTTCGAGATATTTGCAAAATACGACGGCTATAAACACGGTCACATTAAATTGAAGAGACCTAAGCAATTGCAAGAAATATTGGATACTGCACGTAGTTTATTAGCTGAAATACAACATCGCGCTGCTGGACCTGAATTGGAAGAGAAACAAGGAAAATTAGAACAATTGAAAAGCGTCTTAGAAATGTGAACACTATTTTTTAATAAATAATTTTCATTTTAGCTAATCTAAACTTCGATCACGTATAACGTTATATTTTGCAGGTATGGCCATTTTTCAGGGATAAATCGCAAGGTGCAAATGAAGTATCAACCAAGGGGACGACCCAGAGGAAGCTCATCAGATGATGGTAGAAAATATAGAATAATATATTTATGAAATAAATATATATTATTTATAAATAATATATTTTTATCAGATCGACTTGGAGAGCCTTCCCTTGTTTTAATATTGAAATGGGGTGGAGAATTAACACCAGCCGGCCGTATTCAGGCAGAGGAATTGGGAAGAATATTTCGCTGCATGTACCCCGGTGGTCAAGGTAGACACCTTAGTGGTTCGTATCTTATGTTCATACGCTTATCATGCTCATTCTTAAGTTAATTTTCATAATGATATTATTTATTAATGAGTTTCATATGTTGGCTGAACTTATTATTTGTCTGGACTGCTCAATTGAGCGTATGCATAAATACATCTTGCTATTTATCTTGCACAGTATAATTTAACCGAAGTAAGACCCGTGTGTATGTATTAGGTATTGGATATGTTAATTCATCTTTTATTTAAAAATAAAAATGCAAAAGCAAATGGATGGTAAATTTCAAGCTTTTAATTAGACTATTGATGATCGTTATATTTGATTAAAAAGTAGGTAAATATCGAAAATTTTACGAAAATCTTTCAAATGTTACAAGGATCTTTGATTCATAGATAATTTCAAATATTTCAGAGGAAGACTCAGAGATGTTACCAAACCACGGTAACTTTTTATTCTGAATCAACGCTTTTTTGTAGTTATACGTAGATTGTGCTAGACATGCATAGAAATAGTAAGCCAAAAGTGATAATCAAGGTTTTGTTAGAAACTTATCATTACTTACAGATTAATCTGTTAAGATGGCTTGAAAGTTGTTAAAACGTAAAAGCAAATGCTATTTCTATGCTAATTCAATGTGTATTCCACTTTATTGCAATAGTTCAATAGTAGTTGCTCTTTATCTATTTTGTGGCCTTAAATGTTTATATGTTTTATCTTCTTTTTTCAGTAGGTTTCATATATCTCGTCATTCATGTAATATCATGCCTAAAGGACATATACATACACATGTACACACACATGTATTGTAAATTTATATATATAGCATTCTATTTTCTATCATAAACAGTTTGTCATAAGCATTTTCATCCTGAGAAAATAAAATAACTTCTACGGTATTATTCAGATTATTAATAATAAGGAAATGAACATAAACATTAAATATGCTTAACGTATATACATCTGATTAGACTTGTTTAGATATTGATACATATTAGATAACTAAATTGATGATATGAGCAATCTTTTATCAGAACATAGATCATCCAGTGAAATCTCATATGTACTTATTTTATGTCTATTAAAAATGGAAGATACATATTTTATTTATGTTCTTCTAAAGTATTTTTGTGTATATGTAGGTGACTATGCTGGTGCACAAGGTTTAGGGCTACTTAGACTTCATTCGACATTTCGACATGACCTGAAGATTTATGCAAGTGACGAAGGAAGGGTTCAAATGACCGCTGCAGCTTTTGCAAAAGGTTTACTCGCGTTGGAAGGTGAATTAACGCCTATATTGGTCCAGATGGTGAAGAGTGCTAATACTAATGGTCTATTAGACAATGATTGCGATAGCAGTAAATACCAAAACATGTGCGTAAGGCAATTTATGCAAATATCATTGTTGTACATTTCAAATGCATTTTAACGATATATTTTTACAGGGTGAAAACACGACTGCATGAATTATTACAACAAGACCGAGAGTTTACACGCGAAGACAGAGAACAGATAAATCCTGGAAACGCACTGAGCATCAACGCAGCAATGGATTTCGTTAAAAACCCTGTTCGTTGCTGTCAACATGTTCATACTTTGATTCAGAAATTAATGGACATTGTCCGTATTAAAAAAGATGATCCCAAAACCAAAGGTATGATTTCATATATATAATTTCATATATATTGTGTGCTTACTTATGTAATATATTTAGACGCAATTCTTTATCACGGTGAAACGTGGGAATTAATGGGTCGACGATGGGGAAAGATAGAGAAAGACTTCTGTACTAAAAACAAAAGATTCGACATATCAAAAATTCCGGATATTTATGATTGTATAAAGTATGATTTGCAACATAATAACCACACGTTGCAATTCGAACACGCGGAAGAATTGTACATTTATTCTAAGTACTTGGCAGATATAGTGATACCGCAGGTGAGATAATGCCACGGCTGAATAGAATTTATCCTTTTATGAAAAAAATTTAAAGTTGTATCTTTATAGGAGTACGGATTAACGGTGCAGGAGAAGCTCACCATAGGCCAAGGTATTTGTACTCCTCTTTTGAAAAAGATAAGAGCAGATTTGCAGAGAAATATTGAAGAATCTGGAGAAGAAACAGTTAATAGACTTAATCCGAGGTAAATATCTGTGTGTGATATAAATGCAATGATTATTAATATTATAAAAAAATTCAGATATTCCCATGGAGTGTCAAGTCCTGGTCGACATGTACGCACAAGACTTTATTTTACAAGCGAAAGTCATGTGCATTCTTTGCTAACTGTTTTACGTTATGGTGGTTTACTTGATGTATGCATCTTACATGTATGTATTTTATGTAACATGTATTGAATTTTAATGTATTAATTACACCACAGGTAGTAAAAGATGAGCAATGGCGTCGGGCTATGGAATACGTTAGCATGGTTTCTGAATTAAATTACATGTCTCAAATTGTAGTTATGTTATACGAAGATCCAACGAAAGATCCTAGCAGCGAAGAACGTTTTCACGTTGAATTACATTTTAGTCCTGGTGTAAACTGTTGCGTGCAAAAGAATTTGCCTCCAGGGCCAGGTTTTAGACCCCATTCACGCAATGAGAGTAGCCACAACGTAGTAAGTAAATTCTGTGACTATAATTTTTTTTATCCTATGATCATAATAGGGTTATTTAGAAGTATACGTACATTTATATTTTTAGGGTGAAAGTGGTGGTTCTGCTCACGATACCATTTCACAATGCAGCACTCGAATAGAGGAAGAGGATGTAGAGTTGGGAATTCTGGAGGATGATTTCATGAACCCTCCACTGCAATCTGTGTGTATAAACGTGTTATATTCGAAAGTGAGTGCAAATAAATTAGCATTTTTTATTTAAATATTCAGGAAACACCTCCGCCAACGATAGAGTCAGATACTGTTGATGCAATGGATAGTCCAACAACCAGTAGAGCAGTTGATATGATGGATCTACATCCTAACATGATGGATGAACCATTTGATAGTGGCTTTTTGCAAAGTTCCGCGCCTATTCCAATAAGGTACATAGTTTTGAATTTTAGATGAGCCTTATTTTTTATAGTTAATTATCAGTCTTTTATACAAGATATGATGCTAACATTTAGTGCTAGAACTGTGGCTGGCCACGAAGCGGCGAGATTAGGTAGTCAGTTGGCTGCGAGTCAACGCCAACGACGTGATGCGGAGAGAAGTACAATTGTTGAGCCACGAGCACGCAGCTATGATTATCAGAGACAGGACAAATCCGAAAAAGGTGAGTTAATATCGTTGACATTGATGTAGATATATAACAATAAGTTCGCCGTTATACTCTGTAATTGTGCATGAAAGTGAATTCTAACAATTACAAAAAACATTTGTAAATACTGATTTGGGTAAACTTAGCAATACAATTGCTAAAAATCTAGTAGTGTATTGTAAGAATAGCATACACTTAATATTTCATTAACGAAATTTCTCTTCTTGGGTAATTTATAGCTAACATTCAGATTTAACCAGAAAATCTGGTGTTTTTCGTGTCTTTCTTTTTATAGCTGCGGACAAGCTGCAGTATCAGAGCTTGGACGCGGTCAACAAAGAAGGTATGTCAGCCGCTGTATAATAACTTCAGCAGGTTATAATGCATTGTCTGATATCATAGGTGATTGTTGCAGGATTTTCAAAGCATTTAAAGTTTCGATATACCGTATCATCCTGATACAAAGATTACATAATATTTTTCTTTTCTTCTTTTTATTTAGTTACATTCCTAGGAAAATTGGCTATTCAGTTGACTGTTTAATTTACTCTCTGCTTTTGAGATGGTAATTTTCGTAGCTGCTGATCACTGTGATTTGCATCTTTTAATTCTTCTATGAAATATACAGCATCCCTTGTATTTATTGGTACTGCGATACTTTTTTTTTTTTTTTTTATAAGAAGCATTATCTCATAGTTACTATCAATAGTGAACGTACACGTATATAATTTTTTGTAGATAGTCTTCATGCCTAATCCTTAATGTTGCATTATTTTCTGTATATTTTCTTTTGTATTATATTAAGTTCTATGTGTAATAGATTGTACAAGCGAAGTTCAGTGTTTGTTCCAAGTATTATACAACACTGTAAAATTCTTACTAAAGTCTAAATCTTGACAACTCAATGATAGATGTTGGATAGGTATATAATTAAAGTCACATTATATGTACAAGTGGAAGCTTAACTAAATGGAATTTAACAAAAGGACATGATGTTAGATGGGAGTAGGGAAGTTCAGTTGAAATAACTCTTTGCTCAGCGATAGTTGTGCGCGTGGAAGCCAACTAATTTTTATGAACGACTGTTTGAGTTACACATTGACAAATAGTGTAGCTTATTCAGCCGTCATCCTAATTCCTTCATTCCTGTATCATCGTTTCATTAAGATT